TTGCCACAGACATGCTTGTACCAATTGCAGGAGCAGTTTCTGATCTAGAAACCACAGCTCCGTTCTGTAGTTCGGGTGGATCCTTACAGCTCCTTAAGCTCCTGCTTATGACCAGACGTTGTGCCCCTCTCATTCTTATCTCCGTAAAGTGCTGTGTGTATTACACACAATTAACAAGGATGAGTGGATGAAATTACATGTAAGCCCAGTGTGAAAGAACGATGAGCTTGTTTTCTTACATATTTGGCCGTGCGGCTCCAGTGAGGTAACGCCTATCGTATTGTTGAAATTGTGTTGATTGCTATTGTTGTGCTATTTATAAACACCACCTCTGCGTGGCAAGCCCTCTGCTGGGTGCACCGAGATGCACGAGACGAGGCTGTGTCCTCAAAGGGTTCACCATCTGGTGGGAGAGACAGACACGTGTGCAGAGGATGACAGAGTAGTCAGAGGAGTGTTAATGAAGTGCGCATGGCAACTACGAAGAGACAGGTACAAAATTCCCGAGAATGAGCTCCTAGAAGGGCTTTGAAGGCGTGTGACCAAGGAGCATGGAAGGAACAGAATCTACTGGGCGTGGGGCGTCTGGGGAGTTCAGTTTGACGAGGACCTATGAATGGGATGAGGGTGGAGAAGGTGACACTGGAGAGGAAGGTAGGGACCAAACCACAAAGGACCCCGTAGGAGTTTCCCCCAGCCGCTGTGACAAAGTCCTGCGAACTGGGTGGCTTCACCCAGCAGAAACGTATGTCCATTCTGGAGGCTGGAAGTCCAGAATCAAGGTGTCGGAGGGGCCACACTTCCTCTGCCAGCTCTAGGGGAGGACCCCTCTCCCCGCTTCCAGTTTCTGCTGATTCTCAGCAATCCTGGGTGTTGCTGGGCTTGTAGACACATCACTGCCATCTCTGCCCCTATTCTCACGTGGTCGTCTTCTCATCGTCTGCCCTCTGTGCAGGTCTGCCTCTGGGTCCAAATTCTCCCTTTTTCATAAGGACACCAGTCAGAGAGGATTAGGACCCACCCTGACGACCTCGCCTTAACTTGATCCGCAAAGACTCTATCTCCACGGAAGGTCACACCCCCAGGTGCCAGGGGTTGGGAGTCCAACACATCCTTCCAGGAGAGGCCTGGAGGCAGTTTCATCTGCATCCACATAGGCTGCGAGTTCCAAGCAGGGAGGGAGGGCCAGGCCCTGTGCTGGCTGGAGGGTGGGTTGGACGGGGGAGTGGAGGCGGGGCTGGGAGAGCAGCCAGGAGAGCTGAGTGCAGGCAGGGGGATGGAGGGGTGAGGGGCTGTCGCACGCTAACTGCCCACCCTCTCTCCCCACGGCCCTCACATGCCTCCAACAGACACACACAGGCCTTGTTTCCGGAAAATTTAAGCAGGATAAGATACATGTGACAAATACAAAAAAAAAACATGTAAAATTAAGAAATCTTACAGTTTTCAGGAACTTGGTCATTGGTGTGTATGTGGTCGTTTTTCCTCCTTGCTTTTAACAATGACTATTTTCAAACCTGAGCAAAAGCAGAAAGAACGGTACCTGCCTCCCGCCACATGCCTGTCACCCATCCGTTACCCCATTTTCTCTTTTCCCCGGTCCTGCCCTGCCTCATTTGTGCGTGACTTTGTAGCAAGTCGTGGTGCAAAAGCCAGCTTTGTCATGGGTAAACTTTGTGACTTGGGGCCCATTATGCAATGTCCCTGAGCCTCGGTTTTCCTTTATAAAATTGGGGTGACAACCCAGTACAGTCAGCCCCTAATAAATGTCAGCTGTGCCTCCGGAATGCACCCTGGAAGCCGAAGATAGGGACCTCTGACCCACAGCTGCTCCCCCGTAAAGCCACTTGCCTAGCGATGCTGCCAGAGCAGAGAGGCAGGGCCCCACTTCCAAGCAGCCTGCCTCTCGGGAGACCTCGGGAGACATCGTGCTATGAGCAGTTTCTTGTGGGATTTACGTGAATTTTTTTTTTTTTAAAGATTTTATTTTTTCCTTTTTCTCCCCAAAGCCCCCCGGTACATAGTTGTGTATTCTTCGTTGTGGGTTCCTATAGTTGTGGCATGTGGGACGCTGCCTCACCGTGGTCTGATGAGCAGTGCCATGTCCGCGCCCAGGATTTGAACCGACGAAACACTGGGCCGCCTGCAGCGGAGCGCGTGAACTTAACCACTCGGCCACGGGGCCAGCCCCTTACGTGAATTTTTTTAATGAATTTTTTAAATATGTTAACGAAAAGTAAATAGTGCCTTTTAAGGAAGACTCTGGTAAGAAACAACTGAGGGATAGGAGAGAAGAAGAAGTAACATGGACATGAACAGCGTATGGGCAGAGCTGCTCGGACTTCAGTGCTCAGGTGGCGGATCTGCAGGGCTGGGGTTGGGCCTGGGATTCTGCTTTGCTGTCAAGCTCCCAGTTGGTGCTGCTGCTGCTCGTCACTGCCCACCCCTGGAGTAGCAAGGACATGAAGTCAACTAGGACCCAGGGGCCAAACCTGTCCCTCTGCCTGTTTTTGTATGTTCAGTTGAGCTAGGAATGGATTTTACTCTCTCTCTCTCTCTCTTTTTTTTGGTGAGGAAGATTGGCCACGAGCTAACATCTGTTGCCAATCCTCCTCTTTTTGCTTGGGGAAGATTGGCCCTGAGCTAACATCTGTTGCCGATCTTCCTCTGTTTTGTATGTGTGATGCTGCCACAGCATGGCTTGATGAGTGGTGCATAGGTCCACACCTGGGATTGGAACCCGCGAACCACGGGCCACCTAAGTGGAGCACGCAAACTTAACCACTACACCCCCAGGAGGCCAAATTTTACCTTTTTAAGTGGTCAAAAAGTCAAAAGAATAATACTCGTGACATAAAATGTATATGAAATTCAAATTTCCATGTCTATCAACTTTTCTGGGCACAAGGACACGCCCACCCTTTAGTGCTGTCTGTGCCTGCTGTCGCAAGGGCAGAGCTGGGTACTCGGGACAGAGACCCAATGGACCTAGAACGCTTACTGTTTGGCCCTGACAGAAAGGCTTGGTCGACCCCGTACAGCGGCCAGCCAGCGTCAGTGTTGCGACAGCCGGCAGGGGGCAGCAGAGAGCCGTGTGCGGGCCAGGGCTTCCCGGGACCTCAGGACGGGTATTTAGAGATGTGAAACGTGACCCACGGGGACTAAGCTGAGCTTTTAGGATGGAGATATGGGGCCTGAGGTAGAAATGCCTGGGCAGTTAGCACGAGGAGATGGGGTGGGGGTCAGGGGGAGGAAGGAGACAACGCCCAGGGTAAGGAGCTGTTGCTGGAGCAGACAGGTCTAGACCCACAGGTCATGGGAAAACCGGCAGGAAAGGTGGGCCCAGGTTGGGTGTGGAGGCCCAGAGATGCCAAGTGGGGCTTGGACTTAAGGCGAAGGCAATAGGGAGTCACTGAAGGCTTTAGGCAGTGGAGTGATAGCATCGCATTTGTGGGGAGGGACTGTAACTCTGGTGGCTGTGCCTGGGGGACATTGTTGCAAGGATCCAGGGGCAAGGTGATGAGGGGCAGAAAACGGTGGGGCAGTGGGGAAGGGGTGGAAGGTGACAGTCAGCTGTGAAACAGCCCACAAGAAGGCTTGGAATGCACGGTCCCTTGGGGTCTGCGTTTCCGCCCAGGACTGCTGGATAAACAGTGTCGTATTTTTCTTTCTCTTTCCGCTGTTTTTCTCTGCTTTCGCGAGGGCCATGATGCAGTGAGGGTGGTTCTTTTTTTGCTCCCGGCCTTACCCCCGTTTTTTCTGGTGCCTCCTGCAGATGTAGGATTTCACCACCAGGAGCTGGTTCTACCAGTCTTTGGGCGAGGCCTTTCTGTTCTGTCTTAGAGATTAGTATTTCTCAGTGGGGGAAAGGAAGGGCTTGCAGACTCCTTTTAGAATCGGGTGAACTCCAGAAAAATTCACGGGGGCAGGTAGGCTCAGAAGTGGAGCTGTCATTCCAGGGCTCCAGCTCCCTGAGGCCAGTGCCAGTGAAGGAACCCACCCTGGGGCTGCACTGCTCAGGGTCAGTGAGGGGTCAGCTGCTTCTGGCTTTAAGGTTTGGGGCTTGCTATCAGAGCCCTTTGCCCCCCCACCCCGCCAAGCCTCCCTGTGCATCCTGATCTTCTTACTCTCTGCGCCTTCCTCCCGTCTTACGGAGATGATGCAAATGCGTAGGAGTTTCTCTGCAAAGAACACACAAGACAGGAGCTAGTGGGTCCTCCTAGGATGGCAGGTCTGTGGTTCTTGCTGCCTGATGGGCAGCGTGGGGCCCTCTGGGGAGCTTCCCTGAGCAGAAGAGTGGCCTTCCAGCCTCTGGGCTGGGCGGGCTGGGTGGGCTGACCCCTCCCTATGCACTGGGCCAGGAAACACTGTGTTCACAGAACTCTGAATGCGTAAATTTCTATTTTGAGATCTTGATGTATCATAAAATCCCCTTTCTGGAAACAAAAAGAGTACTATCTCAGACGCAGTCTTATTTAGGGAATTATTAGCTTCTCTAACGAGAAATAAGTAGATTACATTTTTTTAAAGATTAATTTAATCTCCATAACAAGGAACATTTAAAAGAATATAGTCATTTAATTGTGAAATGCTTCCAAAGGAACAAATGGAAGCTTGAAAACTTGAACTATTGTTCAAGTTATCCAGATTTAAAAAATCTAATCCAACATCGACTTTTAATAAAAACAGCCCTTCCCAGCAATTATGTCTTTTACTGTGTGTCTGTGTGTTTAACAATAGCTTTAGTGGAATATAATTTATGGAACATAAAATTCACCTGTTTTAAATGTACAATTTAATGATTTTGAGTAAATTTACAGACTTGGGCAACCATCACCACAATCTAACTTGAGCACGTTTCTAGCCCCCCAAAATGGTCTCTTTCTTTTTAACTGCAAGAAATATTAGAAAAATAATAATTTTAATTTATTATTTCCTGTATTTGCATCATCTAAGTTATATTCTTACTAATAAGTGACCTTTATTGATATCTCTTCCAGGAAAACACGAGACAGCTGGAGCAAAGCTCTTGCAATCTTATCAGAAACTGAGGTGAGCATTGAGAAAGGACAGGCCGTCCTGGGCCCTCTGGCACTGGTGCACAGAGGACATGCTGAAAGAACTTATAGATTGCTGACATTCAGATGTCACCACTTTGGAATGTCACTTTTTTTTTAATGATAAAGTGCCTGCAAAAGATTCAAACAGAGATGTTTCCTGATTCTTATGAAAAGCCTTCTAGGAGCTAGCATATTATTTTCTCACTAAATGTTTTATTTGTTTCTTTTTTTTTTTTTTTGGTCAGGAAGATTGGCCCTGAGCTAACATCTGTGCCAGTCTTTCTCTATTTTGTATGTGGGACACCACCACAGCATGGGTTGATGAGCATTGTGTAGGTCCATGCCTAGGACCCAAACCTGCAAACCCCAGGCTGCCAAAGCAGAGCGCATGAACTTAACCACTATGCCACCAGGCCGGCCCCTGTTTCGTTTCTAAAATTCTCCTGAAATATTGTTAGGAAGCTAAATATTCTTTTTGAGGGCACGTTAAAGGAAATTCTAAACCAAGCATTTGCTTTTATGAATCAGCCATCCCTCCAACGTCTTGCTCAAGAGCCTGACACCTTACAGACATTGTGGATTAAACATTGGTGGAATTGACTAACGGCTTGAGAGATGTTAACTTCTTGTCACAAAATTCTAAACACCAGCAGTCTCGAAGCTGGCAATAATTTACACACCTGATTACACTGAATTTATTCAAGTGTTATGGAAAGCTCCCCTCTAGCAGCTATTTTTTTGGCCCTTGATGAGATTTTTCCAATCTCAGGATTTTTTCATTTTTTACGCCCTCATTTTTTCCCGCTTCTTTTAGTGTGAACTTCTAATTCCTCTCATGGTCGATTTTTACATCTGCAACAATTTTGGGCACTTCTGCTAGCGTGGTTTCCACTGAGAGGACACGCAAGCCCATAAGCCACACACGTGTGGAGTCTGAGTTCCAGAGCAGGCAGACGGCAAAGCTGGGTTCCGAGCCCCCCAGCTATTTTAGGACACATGGATGGAGCGCGATGCGCAGACATTAGACCCTGTGACGCTTGTTTCCCACATTCAGATACTGGGAAATAATGCCCTGCACAAAGGAGCAGATCCAAACAGGGCTGCTGGACTTTCTGCTAAAAAGTGAGGAGCTAAAAATAAAAAGCAGAGAACTTGAATTACAGGACAATGACGAATCTCACGTATTTGTAAGATGTGTATTTAATATTTATGTGGTTCATAACCTATTTCCTTTTCCTGTATTTTTCCTCGCAGTAAAATTTCTGTGGTTCCTCCTACCCCGCCTCCTCTCAGCGAAAGCTGGTGCAGTGGCAGCCCTGGCAAGGTAATGTGTCTGTTCTCTGTGCGTCCCTAGGGAAGGCGAAATGGGAGAGAGAGAGAGAGAGGAAGAGGGGACCTGAGTGGTTGTGCCAGGAACCTCATGGCAAAGGGGTCCAGCTGTGGCTTGAGCGGGTCATGAATTGAAGCAGGGAATGCCGGCCCGACTGCTGGGCCCTGTCCAGTGTCTGTGCCGCCACCATGCTTTGGGGGCCATAGGACCATCCGTATTGTCAACCGACTCACCTTCTGTCTGCACCCCGTGTCCTCACCTGCACCCGCATCCTCATCTCTTTACTCCCGTCATTTCATTGAGTCTCTTCCCTAACTGTGCGCTGTGCCCTTGAATGGGGTCTGGCTGGGCTGCAGTGTGTCTGGGGGCAGGTTGATTCACAGGTGTGTGAGAGTAGGGGTGCCTGTGGAAATGTGTGTGTGTATCTTTTGAGTGTTTGTAGGTGCTCATGGAAAGTAGACCAGGGCCAGGTCCAAAGAAATTAGCCAGGTGATCTTGGGATAGTTACCCGGCTTTCCACCTGAGAGATGGAAATAATTATGTTCCCCTGGCTTGCCTCCCATGGCTGGTGTGAGCAATTGATGAAATAATGTCTATGCTGGTACTTGGAAACTATAAAGTACCATGAAAACAATGCCCTTAATTATTTTCATTATTATTATTCTGTGAATGAAAGGAGTAACCATATCTGTACATAGGAGAATGTACGCATCTGCTGGTGAGAGGGAGAAAATATATATGTTCTTTTTCCAATTTCCAATTGAAATTGGAGTGACCATCTACTTCCTTCTTGAGATTTTAAATTCTCCAAAGTTATTCGAGCACTGTTGTGCTCAAGACATATTTAGTGGATGGATGGATAGATGGATAGATGAATGGATGGATGGACGGATGGACAGGTGGATGGACGGATGGAAAGATAGAAGGACAGATGGAAGGATGGATGGATGGACAGAAGGACAGAAGGACGGATGGACTGATGGACAGATGGAAGGATGGATGGATGGATGGATGGTAGGATGGATGATGGGTGGATGGAAGTATGGATGGATGGATGGAAGGATGGACGGATGGATGGGTGGAAGGATGGATGGATGGAAGGATGGAAGGATGGATGGAAGAATGGATGGAAGGATGGATGGATGGATGGAAGGATGGATGGAAGGATGGATGGATGAGACTTGCAGAGGGAAGTGATCTCATTTTTGTTACTTTATCTTCCTTCCTTCTGCTTTGGAAGGCGGAAGTAATCTTTGGCTCCAGGCCAGTCACCTGTGCCTGGTACCACCATCAGCCCCTGTGTCACAGGCATCCTGCCTGTGTTGGCATCCCCTCCATATTGAGTTGGGATGGGTTGTAAGAGAAAGGCGATTAAAGAAGCAAGAATTTACTTGGGTGCCATCCTTGAGCCAGGAAATGTCAGTCATTATTTCTAAGAGGTAGTTATCTTGTCAACATCACTTTGATGATGCCCCTGTCTTTAATGCAGTGTCAGAACTCAGAGGAGAAAAGCTGAGCAAAGAGGACCCCTGCCTCTTGAAAGGATGGTGCCCTCCCCTAGACATGCATGCACACACACCAGCTGCACCCCGAGTGCTCATGCCCAGATGCACACATCCCCACACGCCTGCACACACCGGCCAGTGTTGGGGTTGGTCCTGGAGGCTGCTGGGGCAGACACAGGTCATCAGACATAACTCTCATTGTCTTTCCTTCTGTCTCTGTTTTAGTTACAAGAACTTGGTCAGTTTAAAGGATTTAATAAGTCCATGGAAAATTTGTTTCTGTCTGTTACCACCCACATGAAAAGTAAGTGGATGCTTCTCCATGTGTTCTTGCCCCACTGCTTGGGCCAGCGCAGCCCACTGGCCTAGGCCTGGCTGATGACCTCTGTCTGTGGTTCCTGGGGAAAGCCACAGCCCCCTGCCCTTCTCCCGTCTCCCCACAGAGCAGGGCTCTGGCTCCCTGGGGAAAGAGGAGACCCCTGACCTGCCGTAGCTCAGCACCGGGGGGAAAGGAGCTGGATGCAGACCTCCGGCTAGCACTGGCACCCATCGCAGCCTCTCCCAAGGAGCAACAAAGAAAGCAGAATGGTCTGATTCCAATGACTCAAAAACCAGAACCTTTGATACGATTCCAGTGAACCGAAAATCAGAACCTTTCAGGCAGGGTGGGGCCCAATATCTGTCATTTGTATAGAATGACTTGTCCACTCTCCTTTTCTCCTCGGTGAATTTATTTTCCTGGATTAGCAGAATGCGTGCAATTTGCACATGCAAGGAACCCAGAACTGCCGCTGCTTAGAATCTTGTCTCCTTCAACGTTCTTTCTGCTCAGATATTTTTTCCTCTTTATCTTAAAATGCGAGTCCTAGAGAATAGCCCCATGGCAGGCCTCCTGAGGTGCCCAGAGCGACCCAGGTCCTTAGTGGGCTGGGGTGTCTTGGGCATCCGTTCTGTTCCGCTGTGCTTGTTTCATTCCTCATCCATTCCGCAGCCCTCGTTCTGCAGGTACGGGTGGACAGTCTCCGTGCTGTACCTTGCCTCTGAGACAATCTCAGTACTCGATCTTAATTAGTCCTCTGTATTCCCCATGAGCCCCGTCTAAGCTGTCCCGTGACGAGAGTGGAAATCAAAGCACTGCTTTTCAGATAAGCAGAGAAGTGACGTCTCATGCGACAGTCTTCCCTCCTCTGCTTCCGAAGTGGGGAGCAGCCAAATTTCATGGCCTCTTTGCTCATAAAGCTTGGAGGTTGAAAACCACCCCTGTCGCTACCCCAGGCTCTTGGAAGATGTCACGCTGCGTCCACATCAGCCTCGGACACGGTTTCCAGTAGTGCTACCCACGCCCTGAGCAGCTGGCTCTTTCCCGCTGATGCTTCTTATGGGAACTTCTCGGCATCTTTTTCTAGATTCACAGCCTCTACCCAAATTCGTGTGCCTTCTGTGAATTCCCTCCCACCACTGCCACTCTGGAATCACTCCTTGGAGTTAACTCCGACCTTGGCATCCCTCAGTCAGGCTCCCAGAGAGGCAGGACGCACGTTTCATCTTGTCCCACCTCCCACTCGCCCTCCCACATGCACTGGGACACATGCACGGGTATACTTGGGCGTGCTTAGCCCCATCGCCTCCCTGTACGTACTCACACATTTGAGATTTGTCAGTTTACTACCTGAGTATTAGGACCATGACATCATAATAGAGCCCCAGACCCGGGTGGACAGCCAGAGCTGATCCTTGCAGGGGACTTCACGAGCAGAGCAGCACCCCCTCTCGGCCACCGATGTTGACTGAAACCCCCTAACCTGCGTCCCCCCATATCTCTGTGCTAAAGAGAGTGTCGAGGCCCATTTTTGAGAGAGACAAGGCTCTCCTGGGAAAAGCCAGGCATTTGGGGAGGACAAGACCATCTTTGAGGTGGTTCCCTCACTCCTGTGTGGGGGTTGCTTCCTTCTTGCTTCCTCATCTTTATTGTGGACCATGGTTAGCCTGAAAAACAAAAAACGTTAAAGTCATCTTTTCAGGGTTTGCTTACTAAAATAGTTGTAAGGATACCCCAGACCTTGCTTTCACCACCAGAAATGGGGTTTAGTTATAAAATCTTTGTAAAGAACCCTACAGTGCTGGCTGCTTTGTTAGGCTTGTCTGTGTTGGACAACCACGCGTTCATGACATGTGGCCCAGAATGCAGAGTGACCGGGGTCCGGTCTCCCGGCTGACGGTGGCTGCCCACCTACAGAGGCATGTGGCTGCACAGTCACCTTTTAGGAATCCAGCTCTTCTGCCCTGTGCTCAGCGCAGGGTGCCCCGAGTCTAGCCCGCAGTGTCTGGGGCCTCTCCGGGGGCGTCCCTGCTCCCCCACACCCCAGAGCTCGGCGCTGGGCACGCTACCTCCCTCCTCTATGATCTTGCCCTCGTGGGACCATGGGCTCCTCCTCGTGTGGTCGCACGAATCCTGGAGCCAGGCTCCCTCGAGCCCGGCAAATCTGTGCCCCGCCACCTGTCATCCCTTGTATTTCTTTTCTAGAGCTCTCCAAGTCCCAGAATGACATGACTTCTGACAAGCAACTCCTAGCCACGGGGCCCAGGCAGTGCACGGGCCAGTCGGAGAGAAGGAGCCAGTCTGACACTGCCATCAACGTCACCACCAGGGTATTCCCCGAGGCCACCAGGCCACCACAAGATCACCTTCCAGCCCATTCTCGCTATAGATTTATTTTTCCTTTTATTTTGTAGCAAAACATTAAGCAGTCTGAAAGCGTGATTTGAAGCCCCTTTATATGGGGAGGCCAAAGGAAGGTCAAAATTCAAGGTCGATTTGGAAAACGGTTCAGAATAGGGAAAGGTTTCAGCCTAATTGCGAGCCCCTGGGACTTCCACGTGTCCACAGGAGCTCCAGCTGGCTTCAAGGCCACAGCAAAGGCAGAGGGCTTGCCTGCAGGGCCAAGACATGCCAGGTTATTCCTGGGGTCTGCGAATACCCTTGCTGAGAGTCGAGGGGCCTTTCCACTTCCTGTTTCCAACTTCTCACTTCTGATAACCTCTGCTGGCACTCCGTCCTGGTCTCTGCTGGGAGCTGCTGAAGACACAAATACAGCATGGTGACGGGCAGTCCTGAGGGAGGTTCTCTCCAGGTCTCGGAGCCGCGAGAGCGACCTCACCTCATTGAGGCTTTTAGGGAAATCGTTCCTCTGGCTTTCTAGCGGGATTGAGCCAGCCTGAAGCAGAGGCACTGGGTGTGAGAGAAAGCCGACTTTTGGATCAGAAAACCTGGGTTCTAGCCCAGCTGGGGTGACTTGGCTATGACAGGTGCCACCACCTGGCTGTTTCCAGGGTTGATATGACTGCTTTAGTTGGCTGGACAGGACAGGTGCCCCGTCTCTACCATGGTGGGCTCTATTTGAGATGTCCCCAGACACACTATGCTTTAGCCTCACTCTCCTGCTGGGACTTCCAAAACACCCTCTCAAGATTTCAAATCCTGCCTCCATCCACTGCCCGCCACCTTGGGCACGTCACATGAACTCCCTGAGCATCAGTGTGCCCCCCGTGAAATGAAGGTGATAATACGTGTTCTGCCCATAGCACAGGCTTCTTGTAAAGATCCCCTGACATAATATAGTATCTAAATTGCTGTTTAAGTTATCTAAATCGCCAGCATTTCTTATTATGTGCCAGACTCTGTACTAAAAGCTTTACTTGGACTATTTCCTTTTATCCTCACATCATCCCGTGAAGTAGGTATTACATTTGGCCCTATTTTACATTTAGGGAAACTGAGGCTTAGAGGGATTAAGTCACATGCCCCTGGTGACATAACCAGAAAGTGGTGGGCAGTCTCAGCTTGGAGGGTGAACGCTGGAGCCGCGATTCTCAGCTTTAGGATATATGTGAGTCACCTGGGATGCTGTCGCAATGCAGACTCCGAACCAGTACCTCTGGGGCAAGCATGAGATGCAGAATCTTGGATATGTTTCTAAGGAGCTCATGGGTGAGCAGGTGAGGTGATGCTGCTGGCCCTCGGACCTCACTTTAGGAGCAAGGTGTCTAGAGAAGTGAAATGTATTTGGAAGGTCTTTGAAACCCTAAAGCGCAAACAAGAGTTCATTCCCTCGGCTCCCCAGGGTCCACAGCAACACCATCCCAACCACCGTCCCTGAGTCAAGAGATGGAGGAAAGGGTTACTATCTCTTTAGAAAATGATATGTTCCAGGAATGATGGCAGCTTTTGTTACATACTTTGTCACATTTAATTCTCATAAAAATCCAGAGAAGATATTGTTACTCCCACGCTAAAGATCTAGAACCTGTGTTTTCGTGAGAGGTTAACCAACTTGTCCAACGTCACATATGCAAGGCGGAGCTAGGGGCAGAACCTGTTTCTATCATTCTAAATTCTAAACTCTTACCCTCTTCATCATATGCCCCACATAAGAAGGATAAATAAAAGCCACTGAAGAAAGAGGGTTCAGGATGGGGGTTCTGAAAGCTCAAATAATTCTCTTCCTCGCCTGGGTGGGCTGAAGCCACTCTGATGCTAGCACTGGCTAAGAGTTGACAGAGTACCAGGCACTGTTCTTGGTGTAAAGCCCTGAGAGGCATTTAACTTTTTCATCCTCAAAACGCCCTGTGAGGTCTATACTATTACTGTCCCCATTAAAGATGACACTGGGGCAAAGAGACGACCAAGGAGTAATGTGGTCAAAAGTGGCAGGGCCGGGTGGAGCCTGCTTCAGAGACCTCACCTGTAACACCTGCTAGGAGAGGTGGCAGCGAAGTTAGAGACTGGCACATTTCCCACTCTGATGTCATGTGCCCTGTGATGGGGCAGCTCAAGTATCCACAGGCTTAGCTTTCGGCATATGGAAGCTGACATAACGTGGCATCCGTGGCACTCACCCTCCCCTGCTGCGTGTGCATGTGGAATGAGCCTGCTGGGCAGTTGCAAGGTTGTCTGATGGGACCGGGGAGCTCAAGGGTAGAAGCGAGGAGGAGCAGGGGAGGCCGTGGCTAGAGCGTCCCCATCGTGTAGACACTCCATTACCTGTGTGTCCACTTCACTGCCATGCTCTTGGCCAGACAGGCTTACAACTTTTGCAGGTGTTCTCTCTCCCCACCTCACTGGAAGATATGGCTGTTTTAAGGAGAATTTAGCCAAATGTTCATAAAGTTCTTAGCAATCGTGGCATGATCTATAAAGGCTAAATAACGATTGGGTTGAAATATGGAGTACGTCTTTAAATAGGACGTTTATCAGACTGCAATTACACATGCCTTAGCTGGTGAGCTCACAAAAATCACACATTTTGTGGGGAGCATCTTGCCAACATTAAGCACACAAGGTGGTGCCCTTTGGAAGTAGGAGATGTGGTGACCACTTTGCAGGTGGCAACACTGAGGCACAGAATTATCGGATACTTTTCTTAAAGCCACATGGTGACTCCGGGGTGTTAACTGGGAAAAGAGCTCTGGATGTCTTCCATGTCACTTCTCCATTAAGTTTGAGCTTCATGTTCTGAAAATGCTTCTGCAAAGACCCTCCCTTAAGCAGCTGGGTTAGGATTCTTCAAGAAGTGAGTTCTTCTTCCTTCTCCTTTGAGATTTCGCGTGCACCCCAGTGGGATTATGTTTCACATCTCTTTAATGTGTGGTTGATCCATATGGGCCATAAAGACACACTCCTGTTATCCAGGAAGGAGGCATACAAAGTGGTTAGGAGGGGCCCTCTCTGAGGAGAGAGATCGAGGACAGAGCTGGAGAAGAAGGCCTTATATCATTCTGTACCCCTTTGTATGATGTCAAGGTTGCCATGTAGCCTAAGATCTAAAGAGACAGCCCACCCCAGGGCGTGGTGCTCCCTGCCCATCTTCTCTTTCCCCACCTGCTGGCCACACCTCAGAGTCTGAGCAGCAAGAGAAGGGAGGCAGCAGCGTTGGGTTTCACCTGTTAAAACACTTGGTCCTCAGATTTAAGGGCAGTTGATCCTGCCAATGGTCCCAGGAGAGGTGGTCTACTCGTCGGCTGAGATTCAACATGGCTCAGAGCATGTGTTATTGGCCAAGCCCAGCCTGGGTATTTTCCTGATACCCGAGTGAATGTTTCTGTTAAAAAGCAACCCTCAGAGGCAGTCTCAGAGGCAGCCACAGTTGCTCTTCCTTCCCTTATCTAAGATCAGAAAAATCCCAAACGCACATATTGCGTGGGTCGAGAGTCCATAATTTGATCAAGTCAAATCTGATGTTTGTTGATCTTCCAGCATATAACATTAAACTTAATACTCTTTGCAGAGTAGGTTTCATTTGGGGCAATCATTTTTTTCCGTAATCTGGCCCAAACTAGATAGTTATTGAAATACGTTAAAAATCACAGGGAAAAAAATGCCTTCTGTTTGCATCTTGATGCCCTTTAATAGGACACTGAATCTGACAAAATCATTCAAGTCCTTCTGAATTTACTGGAGAAGAGTGGGACACCAGATTTCAAGTTGGATTCCTTAGTCAATCAAAATAGGCATATTTTTTAGAAGAGTATCGACTTATCAAATAATTTCAAAATATTTATATTTGTGTTTAAGCTTCATTAAAGGTTTTCCAGGATCCTGATGCATTTAGAAGCACGGTGGCCCCTAGAGTAGGAATTTGACCTGCCATGTGATCGCTACTAAAAAGATAGTTCTTTGTTTCTTTTTGGAACTTTCCATCATCAGTTTTTTTGTGATTCAAAAACTATGTTCCTTTAAAGAAGACTGAATTAAATGGTTGTATATTGAGCACCTAGGAGGTACAAAGCTTTATATTAATATTTAGCGCCACTTTATTCTTTCTATCTGGGCCTGACTACTTATCAATTTCCTTATATGCTGTTACCAGTGGAATCTTCCATGTTCCCCAAAGCCTCTCCCCAACACGCTCAGAAGAAGGAGGGTTTGCGGGAGGAGAACCCTCTGACGTCTTCCTCCCACTTGAGTTTCTCTGGCTTCTTAGTCATCCTTTCCTCCTGCTTTAGAAATGGACGTTCCTTCCCAAGGCGGTGCCCTCCACTGGGCGTTGGCTCTCCTTTCTCTTTGCCCTCCTCCGGGACCTTGTTCCATCATCTTGCAGTTTTCCCCCTCTTTGACCATTTCTCCTCAACCTACAAATATGTCCCAATCTTCCTCATCTTAAAAAATAAAAACAGCTTCTGAAGGATTCCCCATCAAGCTGCCCTTCCATTTCTTCATCACGGCCAAAATTCACGGAAATGTCGTCAGCTCTCGCTGCCAGTGCTCTTGTCCTCACCCTTGCCCTCCCTCTGTGCGCTCCTAACTTCCTTGCAGCCTGCAATCCCCCCGTTACCAGTGTGCAGCCCCCAGGGACCCCCTGATGGATGAGCCAGGTGGCTGATTTGCAGGTCATCCTCTTCAATCATTTTGTCGAATTTGACTCAGTTGACCAGAATTCCATTCTTCTCTTTAATTAAAAGGAATGACTTTTATTGCTTTTCTGTATAACAAAACCTATGCCTACTCACTGATGAAAATTTAGAAAACACAGGCTCCGGGGACAGCCACTTTGACTATGCACATACACTCATTTTACAAAAGTGTCACCCACTCTTATAATTTGTTTTTTTAAGAAAATCTGGGATTGGCCCCATGGTAGAGTGGTTAAGTTCACACACTCTGCTTTGGCAGCCTGGGGTTCGCCGGTTTGGATCCTGGATGCGGACCTATACACCGCTCATCAAGGAATGCTGTGGCAGCATCCCACATAGAGGAACTAGAATGACCTACACCTGGGATATGCAACTATGTACTGGGGCTTTGGGGAGGAAAAAACCAAAAAAGAGGAAGATTGGCAACTGAAGTTAGTGCAGGGCCAGTCTTCCACTCTAAAAAAAAAGAAAAAAAAGGAAGATCTAACATTATGTCTTAATTCTTTCCATGTCAATAAATATACATTGCCACTTTTAACAGCTACTTTTTAGGGCTTTTAATTCACGCTGCCAAATTGCCCTCCTCTGAAGGCACTCAGGAGAGTAGCCCACTTTCCAGCACTCCAGCCAACACTAGAGTTTATACTTTTTATTTTAACATTTGTTAATTTGATAGGCAATTTTGAAAAATTGCATTTCTTTAATTTCAGGTGAGCCTTTTCTCATACATTTTTCTCCTCTTCAAACACCCTTCATTCCTGAAATCCTCATCTTGGATCTCCAGCTCCTCCAGCCTCTGTATCCTCCCCTGTGCCCACCCTTTAGTGTCCCCGAGCCACCTGGTCCCTGGACAACCTCACTCATCACTGTGTGTGCATGTTCTCGTGTCCCGTCTCTGTCTAGCCTCTTGAGTCTCTGAGGTGGCACTGGTCTCTAGCAGGTCTGGGAACAAGCTCCGTACTTGACCGTCATGACAGCCCCTCCACCTGGGGTGCCTTACGTTGGGTCTTTCCCCAGCCAGCCTTCAACACCCCTCTCAGGTCACACTCCCACTGAAGGTCATCCCAGATGCCCCTTTCCGCTTAAACCCTCCCTCTCCTCTTTCCCGTTGACTTGGCTCGTGGCTCCATTTTAATGGCGTGTCTATTTCCTGCCCTCTAGTGAGTGCCTGGAGAACAGATTTTGTATCGTCTCCTCCTTCCGCTTCTCTCTCTCCTTCTCTCCTCCTCCTCTTCCTTAGGACTTAGAGTGGTGGATTGAATATAGTGTTGCTTAGAAATGTCTGGTGGAATTGAGTTGACATTCTGGGGACTGAGCATAAACAGTAATTTCAAGGTAATCATTTCTTTCATTTGTTCTCTAACATTCTCACTTATGAAAATTATGAAATTATGACTATGGTGCATCTGTTATATTTCTAAGTTCTGCTTCCAACTCAGCATCAAAACCTAAAGTCTCAATTGAAAACTTTGTATTTTTAGCTAATAAGAGGTTTTCCCAGCTTGCCCATGGTGTTTATTGCTCTACACTAGCACTGTCCAATAGAACCTTCCAGCCACTGCCACTTGTGGCTACTGAGCACTTGAAATGTGTCTAGTGCAACTGAGGAACTGAATTTATTAATTTTATTTGATTTTAATTAATTGGAATTTAAATAGCCATATGTGGCTAGTGGCTACCATATTGGAAAGCTGTATATATTCAAAAAGGTCTACAACTTTTTAACAAAGTATTTTTGTAAAATTTAGAGACGTATTTTGATTTTTCCCCTTTTTATGAGCAAATTGGAGCTAAAACTGCCTAACAGGCTGAATACTGTATTTCATGTGATTAAATGCCAGGATCATTATGAAGGCTAAAATGTGGACTTCAATTTCTTTACGACTTATACTAATCCTTAACTAACCCACTCATCACCGTTCATAAATATCCCAGGGCTTGAGGATTTGTGCCTCGGGGTCCCATGGGTGTGTGTGTATGCATTTATCCAAACGGAAGTGCGCCCTCTTAGCACCGAAGTTTGCATATTGGTGGCATCAGGTAATAGATGCGAGCTGTGCTTGCTGAAGTCACCATAGTTGGGGTGCAGCCTGTATTATTAACTCTGTGTTTCTTTTTTCAGAAGGTCAGCGCCCCAGATATTCTGATACCTCTCGATCAAGAGAGTCCCAGACGCTTTACTAGCCCTGTTTTGAAGCAAGAGGATCTCTTATTCAGTCCAACGCCCGACACTTTATTCTCAGGAGGCTTGAGACACGTGAGTCTCATTTAATACCCTTGATGCATGACCAGGGGTTGTTATCGTGATGTCCAGTTGGATTGGTAGGCTAGGATAGGAGTGAAGTGTGGTTTGGGGGATAAACTGGAGCACAACACTAGAGTGTGGAGGTGATATTTTACTTAAGTTGGGAGCTGGGTAAAACCTTGCTACACTTTGATGGTGGTTTCTCTTTTTTACAACATCTCATTGTGAACATTTTCATACCTACAGGGCGTAATTAATAATGAATAATGGTGGCTTTGGATGAGCAGCTTTTAATTTTGATGAAGTCTCATTTATCAAATTTTTCTTTTATGGTTATTTTTCTGTCTACTCACAAGCCATGAAGGTCTTCTCCTGTGTTTTCTTCTAGAAGCTTTATAAAAGTTTAGCTTTTATAGGTAGGTCTATGCTCCAACTCATTAATTTTTGTGAATGGTGCAAAATAGAGGTTGAGGTTCATTTTTTTCCCATATGGATACACAGTTATTCCAGCGCCATTTGTAAAAAAGACTGATTTTCCCATTGACTTTGGTGTCTTTGTTGAAAGTCAAATGACCATGTAAGTCTGATTTTTGTTTTTTGGAGATTCTCTATTCTGCTCCGCTGGTCTCTTTGTCCCTCTTTACGCCGAGACCACACCATCTTGGTAACTGCAGCTTTGTCGGAAGCCTTGAATTTGGGTAGTTTAAGTCCTCCAACTTAGCTCTCTTTTTCAAGATGTCTTTGTGATGTTTTAAATGCGGTCTCTGGTTATAGGCAGACATTTTTATTCATTCATTCATTTATTCAAAAACATTAAATGAATACTTTATGCCTAAATTTGTGATATATGGTATAATAGCACCTTGGATGAGGGGTCATGAGACCTCAATTGCAGTCATAGCTCTTTAACTAATTAAATGATCTTGAACAATCACAAAAATCTCTCCAAACTTCGGAGTCCTCATCAAGGAAACGAGCATCAGTTGTTCCTTTTATTTCTGAATTGCTTTGAGAATCAAATAAATGCACACATTCTGCGGTGTAATATAGTGGGTTAAGAACTCAGCTTCTAGAAGCCAACTTCTTGGGTCACGTTTGCCTCCTTTAGTGGCAAGGAGTATGACCTAGGACAAGTCCTTTAACCTCTCTGTGCCTTGGGGTGATTGTGTTTTTATGGAAAATAGTGCTTACTTCAGAAAATGATAGACTTTCCCCTCCTTTACGTGAATACCCAGTGGAACATTCAGAAGTCATGGCAGAAGCAGGCCAGATCCGTGCATTGAAGGATAGCGAATACCCTTGACTGAATCTGCTAAATGCTAGCAGCTCCCAGCCCAGCCCTTCGCGGGCCCTGTGGGTGGTCCTGCTTCCATCAAAACCACTGCTGTACACCCTCACTACCCAGAATGTGGGGCCCAGGAGCATTAGCATCTTCTGGGAGCTTGTCAGACCTGCAGAATCTCTGGCCCCATCGCAGACCTATTGGGTCAGAATCTGCAATTTAACAAGATCCACAGGAGATTCATACGCACGGTGAGGTTTGAGAAACCCTGATGGAGCCCTGGCAGTTTCACACTTGAGTAAAGTAGGTCACCTCTTAAGAATTTTTTAATAGTCTAGGGCTGTGCTGTCCAATATAGTAGTCATCAGTTGCATGTGGCTATTGAGCACTTGAAATATGGCTAGTCTGAATTGAGATATCCTGTGAGTGTAAAATACACACGGGATTTTGAAGACTTAAATATGAAAAAAATGTAAAATGCCTCATTAATGATTTTTATATTGATATAGGTCAAAATGATAGTGTTTTGGATATATTACATTAATAAAATACACTATTAAAATTAATTTCACCTATTTCTTTTTTTCTAATGTGGCTACCAGAGAATTCTAAATGACGTATTTCGCTCCAGTTCTATCTCTGTTGGACAGCACTAGTCTGAATGCTATGATTGTGCATTAAATAGCACCTGGAGTTCTCTGGAACCGTATCCAAAATGTTGTATCATGTGCCTCTGTGCACTTTGCTGGGAAGAAAGCTCATGTTTTCATCCAGTTCTCAAACGGGTCTGTGCGTCCACATGGGTCAAGGACCAGAATTCGGCTCTCAAATGCAAATCAGCTCACACAAGTCCTCTTGTGGACCCTGCCAACCCCCTGTTGAGTGCAGCCACCTGCTCCGGGTCACACAGATGGTTGAGGCAGAACCAGACCGAATTTCCGACTGCCGAGGCCCTGGCCCTCTGCTTCTCGGATGCCCTAAGGTTGTGAGAGTCTGGGGATGGCCCTGCCAGGATATCTCAGAGGGCTTGTGTTGGAGGACGGCTCAGCATCTTTCTTTACAAGTAGGTGTTGTTTATACTTGAGGATGGTTCAGGAAGGTGAAAGCACTGAGGAAACACTTTCCTGAGGGCAAGGTAAGCAACAGTGGCTCCAGAACATTCTCTCCTAGGATTGAACCCTGTCCTAGGTATGAGACAGGGAGAGCAGAGGGGTGGCCTCTGGGAGGCTTTTCCAAGACTCTTCTGGAAGCTTTGCCTCTTCCCAGGTGACAGAAGGACTCCAAGGACGCCAGCCAACTCGAGCCTTTATTAGGCTGGCCCAGGAGGATGGGGCTAAACCTTCGGGATTGCTCAAGGGGCGGTTTTCCCTGAACCACCCAGGGTCCCGCTAGACTGGACTCTAAGCTCCTTTGAGGGCCAAAGTCATGTCGTTGTATGACCAGAAACCAACACGTAGGCAGGGACACGGGCTGGGAGCCACCCCACAATGGTCCACGGAGCCCTATACCACCTGTGCTGCCCCCAGGCTGCTATCACTTTCCCTCTTGCTCTCTCTCCAGAACCACACTGGGCAGACTCAGGCCCGCCTTGGGGTGTTTCTGCGGCTGTTGCCTCTCCCAGGCACCAAGCTCATTCACTCCCTTGCTTCATGTCTTTCCTCCAAGGTCACCTTCTCAGGGAGATTGGCCCCTGTTCTGCACTCCCATCGCCCTTACCTGCCCTGTGCTTATCCGTAGTCATATCACCTTCTGTAGCTATATAATCGGCTTATCTGTTGTTTATTGTCTGTTGTAATTTTCAAGTGCCCAGGGCAGTGCCTGATACTTAAATGGCACTCAATAAATATTTGTGGAATGATTGGCTTAATCCTTATCATAACTATGTTTATTGAAAACCTACTATGTGCCAGCTCCTGAGCTAGGCGCTTCACCTCTCAATCGTACTTTCAACGATAATGTCCTGTGGATGCTATTATCCCATTTCACAAATGGGAAACCTGAGGTTCACAGAGGTGGGGCGACTTGCTAAGGTCATAGGGTAACTGCAGAACTGGTCCAATGCTCGGGGCCACGTGAGTCAAGCCCAGGCTTTTTGTACTATCCCACGGTACTTGTTAAACTCTTAAACTGAGTTGTCTTCCTGACCCCAGCCCTGGTCCAGATTCGCTCACTTGGGGCTGATCCACCTAGAAGCTGACCTTTACGAGTTCGGGGGGATGAGGCTGGGGTAGGGGGATGCTGTGGGTGTGTTCATCTTACCCAGACCCTCTTTCTTAGGATTGTTCCTCCAAACCCCAGTGCAAATTCACCAGGGCTGTCCATTGTTCCTTCTTCTAAGGTCTCTGATTTATGCCCTTAACCTTTATCATCATGAGATTGAATTATTATGCGTTTAATCCTAACCTGTTCCCTTTAGATTGAAGCACTGTTCGTTTGAGAAAACTAAACTCCCACAAAACAAATAACTGATTATGCTTCTTGCCCAAGGATGTTGCCAACCCCGGAGAGATGTTGACAGTCCCCCAGAAACGGGAAGTTGGGGCTAGAAAAAGCTTATGAAATCTCTATTTATTACCAAAGGAGAACGATAAATGGGCAATTAACAGGGGAAATACTCAACCTCCCCCGGTAGTTAAATCAGTGCAAAATTAGAGCAAGCACTATTTTAGGACGATTTTAGCAAATTTTTGAAATGATACAGCTCAGTGTTGGCAAGGTGTGGAGCAGCGGGCATTCCCGTAAACTGCTGGGGTGACCTGGAGGGCAATTAGCAATATAGATCAAAAGCCTTTAAAATGCATGTTCTCTTTAGTCCAATGTAAGTTACAGGAAATAGTCTTTAAGAATGATCGTGAATGTTGCTCAAAATGTCTGTAACATAGATGTCCAGGCACCATCATTGTTGTTTTAATTTTTAAAAATTGGAAATGACTGAAATGTCCAAAATAAGGTTAAATAAATTATAGTACATTTATTCAGGGGACTACTTTGCAGCTATTAAAAAATAATGTGGGGGCCAGCCCAGTGGTATAGCAGTTAAGTTCCCACGTTCTGCTTTGGCGGCCCGGGGTCTGCCGGTTTGGATCCTGGGTGCAGACATGGCACTGCTCATCAAGCCATGTGGTGGCAGGCGTCCCACATATAAAGTAGAGGAAGGTGGGCATGGATGTTAGCTCAGGGCCAGCCTTCCTCTGCAAAAAGAGGAGGATTGGCAGCAGATGTTAGCTCAGGGCTGATCTTCCTCAAAAAAAGAAAAAAAAAAAATGTGGTTGGGGCTAGCCCAGTGGCATATTGGTGAGTTTGCGCACTCTGCTTTGGTGGCCTAGGGTTCACAGGTTCAGATCCTGGGTGCGGACCCAGCACTGCTCGTCCAGCCATGCTGTGGCAGCATCCCACATAAAATAGAGGAAGATTGGCACAGATGTTAGCTCAGCCACAATCTTCCTCACACACACACACACACACACAAACAACAAAAAAATGTGGCCGAAGAATATTAATGGCATAGAAAATATGTTATTGATAAATGAAAATATAAGGTTACAAAACAGTATTAGCTCATGTTTATAAAAATAAAGTGATTATATTATAGACATTGCAAAACAGCTGGAAGGATTATACCAAAATGTTGATGCTGCATTGTGGGATTATGTTTTTTTTTGGCTCATGTGTGTTTCTGGTATTTTCTTTATAAGCATGTAATGTTTTGTGAGAAGAAAAAAGTCCAATT